TGGCATTAAAAAAACGCCACGAACTTTTTCCCATACCTAATATATATATATTTGTTAATATATATATTATATTGTTAATATATATATATTTGATTATAGATTAGTACTACAAAATCATACTGTTGTTCAGGTAACATATTATCAGCCAATGCAACAGTAATCATTCTTGTGTGATCAGCTAGAATTCTGTAACCATAATCAAGTGATAATTCTGTAACCATAGTTTTGCCTGTGTGATCGTCAAATGTTCCCTTATATTCTGTTGCGTTCGAATGCTTTTGTATTGCATTGAATAATGGCTGGAAGAGATCTGTATCATAATTTGATTTTTTTCCTTGTAGAAAAGTAACTAATCGTTCAAGTCCCATGCCTGTATCAACATGATGGTTTGGTAAAGGTACTATATATCCATTTGTAAGCCTAACATAAAATATGATATTGAATAGACTATGCAATTTCATAATAATACAATTAATAAGCTCTTCATGATGTTATATAAAAAAGAAAATTTCAAATATTTAAATTCAATGTATAAAGATATTTAAAAATATATATAGTATATTATATGGATATAATTGATTTAAAAGATTTAAAATATTTAATAAGTACATATAATAACTGATAATTCACCTTTCACATTGTATAAAAACTATGTTCCATAATTCCATAAGATCAGCATATCCCTTATTCACTCGTTCGGCTTGATTAGTTGATCGTTTCATATAGTCAACATGTATCTCTGTACAAGGTCCACAAGGACCTGATACCCCCATTTCCCAAAAATTATCTTGCATATCAAAAGGTAAAACTTTATATTCTGGAAGACCGAGTCTCAACCAAATATCTTTGCATTCCAGATCCGGACTCATGCCTAGTTCCTCATTACCACCAAAATATGTTACATATAAATATTCTATAGGTATGCCATATACGTTCGTTAAAAGGTTCCAAGCATATAAGCAAGCATCCTCCTAAAGTCAGTTCATTACATAAATAAATATTATAAGTATAAACCAGTGAAAATAGCATTGCAGTTCTTTCATACTTTAAAATAATATCCAAAATCATACTTTAAAATAATCTCCAAAAGACCAGTTGCCAAGCATTTCAAAAAAAGTATGATGATAACTATCTTTGCCAACAATACTTAAATCATTGTGCTTTCCACCGACTCTGATACACTTCTGTGAGTTTACAACTTTTGTCACAGGAGGTTTATAATAATCTAAGAAAATCCCTTTAAACTGAAAAGAATAAAAATAAAAGTATTCATTATATTAGCAGACTTGTTATTACAAATTTCTCAAGACTAAAAAGTATGACATACTTGATTCATGCCAGCATTGATAAATGCCAGAGAATGATCGGTAATCGGAGAGACGGGGCTGGAACGAATAAAATTGTGCTTTAAATCCTTCGTGAAGTAATCTAAAAATTCATTTCTGATGAGGTTAGCCGATTTATTGTTGGTGAACTGACTGTATGGGCGAATCAACTTAAGGGAAATCATCTTTCTTGTTATGGAATTTGTTGTCGTCCGTAATCAACGCATAATACGAAACAATTAGTTTTCGTAAAACAATGTACACATGAGTGCAGCAGGAGTCGTCATGTAGCTGAACATGGTTAAGATAGTTAGGATAATACTCGTGTAGTAGTTCTAAACAATCTAAATAACTACATCCAAATCATGTAGCATCATGCGTATAATCCATTCAAAACGAGTCTTATTATATATTGATGAGGTTTAATTAATTGTAGGTTTGTCACCGATGAAGAACCGATAGGAAAATGCGCAAGGTTTAATTAACTATAGGTTTGTCACCGATGAAGAACCGAAAAAATTTTATTTTGAATGTAGCGCCAAGTTGACATTTTAGATTGCGTTCGAGAATACATCGCGAATACCTGCAGGTAT